TTATCTGCCTGTCTGTCTTCAGGTTTACATCTCCCCCCCCCCCAGCGTCTGTCTACGGAAAGGGCAGTTGTTCCCTGCAGTGGGAACCAAAGCAGCTGACAGCATTCTGCTCTCCCCCGTATGATCCTGTGAGGTATATTAAGGTTGAAAGTCTGTGAATGGTCCATAATCCCCCAGGAAGCTTTTATAACATGAACCTGGGACCTGCACACCATCCTCTGAAGCGCTCTCAGGTATGTATCTGTGGCAGTAATGGGGTGACTGCTGGCACCTTTTCCTATCGTTTTTTGCCTTGTGGTATTCTGTTTGTGGTGTGATCTGTCTTTTTTGTGGTGTGGCATGGTTGTGTTATTGGGTTTGTTTCTTTTGAAGGGGAAGTGATGTGTTGTGAGTGAGGACATATTTTACCTCAGAATACACCAGGTCGCATATGCAACTGAGAGTTCCAACCAACTGTCTCATGGAGGAGGGGGGGAGTTTGAGGTGCGGAATGAAGTCCAATCAGTTTCCATATGCAAATGACCTTGAAACGCTGGCCCAATCAGAGAAGAGTGGCCTAGGCTGCAGTGGGTGGGAGAAAACTCAGGCAGCATAGCCAGTAGATAGAGACACCTTGTGATTGACACATCACGGAGCCAACTGATTTTGGAGTGAATGGAATCTTGCAAGACAAAAACGCTTTTATTATATAGGAGAGATAAATATTCTGAATAAGCAACACCAGCCACTATTTTCTAAAGTACGCAGTTAATCACTGATTTTGCACTGCGATTTGGTGGAAGTCAGAAAGTTTCCAAATCACAGTATAAGGTTGGGAAGCAGAGGACTCAGGGAAGGAGCAGGGTCAACAGGGAAGGAGCAACCACAAATACTGGCTGGCTACAAAAGACACTATTCATATAGCACTACTGAAGCTAAAGCTATATAACACTTCTATGAATACTGCGAATGCTGAAAACTTCCAAATATTTATGTGTTTTGGTAAGACACAGTATCTTAAAAGTGCACTAGCAATTCATATTTTAATGTCAAAAAGCATGGTTATGTAATTTAGCATCTCAGTCACTAAGGCTATAGCACTGTGCATACATTTGTGTCAGCAACCAGTTAGGTATACCAACTAAATGCAATATCCATGTGATATTCCTCTGTATTATCAAGAGAGTCTTACCTGGATACAAGCATGTTTAAATCAGAAGACTCCTCAGATTCTATTATAATGTTAAGATCAGTAACCGCAGCATAACCATTTTTGTTACTCTGGTTTGAAAAAGAATAAATGTTTCATATTAGACAAAATGTTATCTTATAAGCACTTAACAGAAAAGTTACAAAACAGAACAGAAAACATGCACTCATTACTCATTAAGATTATCTCAATTTACATGAAATATGTGTACAAATGCTACATAATATATCTGATCCAAGAGGATGAACACTGAGAGACCTAGGTTTTCGATATCTAATTGTTTAATAGACAAAATATGACCAAATACTTTAAATCACTACAGCACAGCAACACAAAGTATACAGCAATCCAAAGGATGGATCCTACAGAGCATTTCTACAGGCAGGAGGAGCATGACTTTCTCCTCTCCTCATATCTACTGCAACTCAAAATATCCCAAAAATGCCCCTTGAAATGCTACTCTCAGTGATTTCAGATCTGTTTCTTCTTCCTTTTATCTTGGTCTTTTCTAGGGCAAGTATCCAGTAAAATTTAGGGATGAAATAGGGAATGACTCCTGTTTCTGCAATAAATAAAAGATTCACAGTTCGCGGGCATTTATATGATGTGCACCAGCTGCAAAATACAAACAGCATTGAGTACTGTAATCAACAGGACAATGGTATGCCATGGAATACTTTTTTATGTTGTGCATCCCAAAAGAGAAGGGTGAAAAGAAAAAGAGATCACCAAACCTCAAAACAAATTAACTTTAAAAAAACCCAGAAGAACAGAAGCTACATCTCTTTAAATGCAGGAGGACTCAAAATGTATAAAATATACAAAATGGACTCAAAATGCTAGCATTTACAATGTAGTCCTCCTGCATTTACACCAAATCCCCCCCCCAAAGTCCTGATTCCCACAAAATGCTCCATGCTCACATGGAGCTCTGTTTGAGCAATATATTTCAACATTAGAAAAACTGCAATTGCCTGAAGGCACATGGGCACACCTAAGCAGACCCAAAGTGAGATGTGTAACAAATAATTGGGGTGCAACAGTGGCAGTTTACTGCTGGTTTTCTATATTTGTATTTCCTCCACGGAAAGGTTTAGCACTTGGCCATTCCTAGTTCACAGTTTGATTATGTAGTAGATCCAGCAGTAATTACTGCTGTTTCCAGAGAGATGCTGAGAAGAGAGCATATCATCAGTTCAGAAATACAATACAACCCTTGAGAAAAACAGATAGCACAATTCTCTGTCTACCCTTTTCTCTACAAAGGACTCTATAATATCCATTGCTTTCTGTTGCACTCTGGAAACAAGACTGCAAGATTTTTTACATTTCTTTAAATTTTACTTTATTTATACCCCTTCTTTCTCCCCAATGGAGACCAAAAGCAGTTTACATCATCCTCTTCTCCACTTTTTCCTCACAACGACCCTGTAAGGTAGACAGGCTGAGAATATGTGACTGGCCCAAAGGTCACCCAGTTAGCGTCTGAAGCAGAGTGGGGAATCGAACCTGGGTCTCCCAAGTTAATAACATTACTACTCGGAGTAACAAATAGTTATACAAAATAAGAAATAAATGGTGCAATAACAAGAAAGCCCATTCAAAGTGGGTTTATAAGGGTATAACTGCTTTGGACTGCACTAGAAGTACTTCACTACTTAAGTAAACTACTGCTGTTTGTCCATTCATAATTTAACAAAGTACCCAAGTAACATAAATACAGGATTTGCATATTTCATTGTAGAAGTCTTCCACAGTGCTAAATCAGCGAAATTTCTGTGAAAACAACTGAAGTTACACAGGAAATTTTGTATCTAAAGAAAGTGAGATTACATATCTGTAGCCAATTGCCATCTTGTGGCTGGAAAAAGAAAGTGCAGTTTATTTACTGTTAGGGAGTTTGTATCCATACTTTAATAGGAACCCTTCCTCCCAAAGCAGTACACAACAATTATAAAATATAATTCCATTATAAAACCACAAAATTAAAATCAAAACCATAAAAACACTGAAGATAAATAAGGTAAAAGACAAGAAGAGTATTAGAAGTTCAAACTCACGGTTTTAAACGCTGACTAAAATAAATACGTATATGCTCACTGTACAGCAGAAAGGCAATATACAAATATTTGAAACAAACACAAACATCCTAAAGCTACTCTTCTGTTACTCTTCTGCTACAAGATTTTTAAATACTGTGTGTTGGGGGGTGAAGCCCTTTTAAATAAGTTAGTATATAGAGTTCTTCAAACACAAATATACACTGATTTCAAAATTATGATAATCTTCTCACTGTACCTGATTTTCCTCCATGAGCCTGAATTCCAACTGAAAGGGCACTGACTGGCAATTTCCTGATAGCCTACATTTGTATACAGTCTTAATTTCACCTACAGTAAAGAAAAATACAAGTTGATACCTTAATTGGGGTCATTTGTTTCTTTGTGCTCCAGGCATTTAAATATTAGTGATTACATTAATATTTATTATTATCTACTTGTCAGGGGGGTGCCAAGTCCCCCCCCCCGACTCACCAACAGGAACATCGGAGTTCAACGAACCGAGCCAAGTGCCAACACAAACAGAAGAGGCAATACAATGAACCAGGGATGGCCCCGCAGGACGGGCCCACCCGCGGATGAGAGAACAGGCACCTATGGGATCCTGGCCTTCAGACTGCAGGACAAGCAAGGAAGACCCCAGAAAGGGTATCCCAGAGGACCAGGACTCTTACCTAGCCGGCCAGCAAGAGGGGCTCCAGCAGCAAAAGGGGGATGCAATGGAGGGAGCGAGAGACACCCCCAGAAATGCTGGCCAGATCAAGAGGAAGGATGGCATGGAACTGACAGGATTAGGGAATTGGTGAGCCCTGTGGTCACTCTCCTCTGAATGGAAGGGGGGAGGGGCAGGTGCAGGGCAGGAGGATTTAAGGGAGAGAGATGCACAGGCTGAGGAGGATGATCCTCAACCCTCTATGCAGAGAGAGTAGAGCAGTGAGATAGCCTGAGAAGGATGCTCGGAATAGAGGGGAGGCAAAAGACAAGAGGACATAGGTGAAGAAACCCCCTCCGTTCCTTCAGTCTGAGGCCGCACCTAGATTCTCCCTCCCTAAAATCAGTCGCCCCAGAGTCTGGCTGTCCTCCTACCAACCCTGCAAGACTTCCACATCGTGACACTACTTTATTTTAAAACTGATGGCCCACTTCTACTACATATGAAGCAGCTTAAACAGTTTTAAAATACAAGAATAAAACAATTAAAAATAATTACCAAAAAACATCTCCTGACAATTCCAGGCCCCAAGGAGGCCAGGCTGGCTGCCACCAGGGCCAGAGCTTTTTTGGTGGTGGCTCCTACCTGGTGGAACGAGCTCCCGAAGGAGATCCGGGCCCTGCGGGACCTTGTGCAGTTCCGCAGGGCCTGCAAGACGGAGCTCTTCCGCCAGGCTTTTGAGTAGGAGCCACCACTATTTTACCATCATTAGCTCTGGCCCTGGGAATGAGAGAACAACAGCACCATATGGAACTGGAAGCACTGATTGGGTGTACCATCTTCGAGACGTCATATTTATGGAAGATCTTGTTCGAACATCTAGAGCACTTAATAGGTTGTAATTAATGGGTAACGTAGTAGTGATGTTTTTATATGGTTTTTATCTGTTTTATGTGTTGGCTTTGCCTGCCTGTAAGCCGTCCTGAGCCCACGTTGCGGGGAGGGAGGGCTATAAATTGAAACTATAAATAAAAAATAAATACAAATTATTACCCAAATTAAAAAATATCCCACATCCCAACAAATACATAATTTAAGTCACTAACATAATTTAAGAAGAGCCATGCTGGATCAGACCAAAGGCCCATTAAATCCAGCATTCTTTTCACACCGGCTGCCTCTAGGAAGTCCACGAGCAGGATGACTGCAAGAGTATTCTCCCAGCCATGCCACTCAGCAACTGATAAAAAGAGGCATGCCGCCTCTGGTACTGGAGGGAATAGATATCCATCATGACAGCCACTGACAGCCCCATCCTCCATGAGTTTGTCCACAACCCTTTTAAAGCCATCCAAGTTGGTGGCCACACTACATCCTCTGGCAGCCAGTTCCACGATTTAACCATGCGCTGTGTGAAGAAGTACTTCCTGTGATCTACCCTGAATCTCCCATCCTTGAGCTTCAGCGGATGACCCCAGGTTCTAGTATTATGAGAGAAGGAAAGGTTCTCCCTATCCACTCTTTCCACACCACGCACCATTTTATAGACCTCTTATCATGTTTCTCATTACTCACCTTTATCTAAGCTAGACAGTCATAAGCATTTTAACCAATCCTCAGCGGGCAGTTGCTCTAGCCCTGTTCAGTTTGGTTGCTCTTTTCTGTATCTTTCCCAAGCTCCACAATATCCTTTCGCAGGTGAGGTGACCAGAACTGTACACAGGATTCCAAGTATGGTCTCATCACAGATTTATATATGGGCAGTATGATGGTGGCAGTTTTATTCTCTGTTCTTTTGCTTATTATGGCCAGCATGGAATTTGCCTTTTTCACAGCAGGCACACACAGGCTTAACATTTTCATTAAGCTATCCACAATCACCCCAAAATCCCTTTCTTGGTCTGTTGCCGCCAGGTCAGATCTCACTAGTGTATACATGCAGTTGGGATTTTTTGCCCCAATATGCATCACTTTACACTTACAATGCACCTCATTTGACATTTTAATGGTCATTTCCCCAGTTTGGAGAGATCATTTTGGAATCTTTGCAATCTGTTTTTGTTTTAACCATCCTAAAAAAAATTGTGTCTTTCGTAAACTTGGCACTTCGTTACTCAACCTTAACTGCAGATCAATTTATGAACAAGTTGAAAAGTGCCAGCTAATAAACTGATTAGCCTTATAAAGAACTAAAACAACCAGTCAACAATGCAACTCTTTCAAAAAGGTGTCATCAGTAGTTATAGTTCATTTTCAAGTCACATTTGAAAAGAGCAGCCTTATAAAGATATGTAGTCCCAGATTTTAAAGATTAAAACTAGCTCCTTGAAGTAAATTGGAAGACAGTGCAGCTGTTGTAATAGAGCCAAGAGTATAATATACTTTTTACAATGTGAAGTTTCCAAATTACCTTCAGTGACAGCCCCACATCAAGTTTACATAAAATATTACAATAAGGTAACAAATAACCATCAGTGTAAATAACATTAAAAATACCTATCCTTCACAACAAATCTCTATTTCAGCTGTCTGTGTTATCCTAACCAGAGTTACTCCCTTCTAAGTCCATTGAAGTTAATTTCTTTAGAAGGGTGCAACTCTGCATAGATTGCACTTCAAACCAAGTACCTTAATGCCATTATTTAAAGTTTTGGTTAGTCCATATTTTAGTACTCTGATCAGTTCTGATGAACCCATTCCAGAGGGTTGGGTAAGCCATCTTAGTCTGAAGAAGCAGAACAAAGTTTGAGTTCAGTGGAAACTTTAAGACCAACAAAGTTTTATTCAAAGTATAAGCTTTTGTGTGTAAGTATGCTTCTTCAGATACAGTGAAACAGAATTTTTGCAATTAACCCCTCATCCTCTCTCTTCCTATACGTAATGGTTGAGGGAATTCTGTTTCACTGTATCTGAGGAAGTGTGCTTATACATGAAAGCTTATACCTTGAATAAAACTTTGTTGGGCTTAAAGGTGCCACTGGACTCAAACTTTGTACACGAAATGGTAACTGAAACCAGAGGGGCTGAGGATGAAGTAGTATCTTCCCTATTAAAAAGTTAAAGAGGCTGGGCTATTAAAAAGATAACAGTGATCATAATGGCTTATAAAATTATGAAGAGTGTTGTGGAAAGAGTACAGAGTGAAATATTCTCTCACTTAGAACGTTAAAACTTAGATACAGAATAAAATGCTTCAACTTTAGGTTCAAGGCAAACAAAAATTTTAATACAACCCATAATGCTTAACTAATTTGTGGAAATTAATTTTCTTAAATAATAGACTATCTTAAAAAAAGAATAAGACAAAATGAATTAGACAAATTCGTGAAGGATAGCAATACATTATCTATAATAGCTGAAAACAGAAACTTGTTATTGAAAGACAGTATTTCTCTAACTACAAGACTGGGGATGGCTTCTGTACAGCTTTTTGCCTTTTTTCAAGGACATCCGTAGGCCAATTTTTAAGACGATGTAATGCACGAGACAGAAACTGATATCATAAGACCAAGACAATCCTTAAATTCTCTGATATGTGCTACATGAAATATAACTTCTATTGTAGCGATTAACACCTGTGGAAATACAAATTTACTCTTGATCTATCACCTACTTTAATAAACCTGGATAATCACACTGAAGGAGCTATAATGATTTCAAATTGTACTGTTTCTGCTTAGATTACTGGTTTTATCCACATACATCACTAATACAATTACATTAGTGTATCACTGTAATTATGAAATTGCTGCTGCCACACCCTAAATGCAATAAAACATGTTAATATAGGAATATCCAAGTATTGTGAAACATTTTACATGAAATTTAACTGTTATGTAAAAAACACTTACTTTTCTCCAGCAGTTTCCTAGAATAATTTTTGAACCAGATGCCTGTAAAATTCATCAAGAATGAGAAGTCCGATTCCAGTAAAGCAAGCTGAGTTTTCAGGTCTGGAGAAGAGTAATATTGCTTGGGGTCTTCTTTGAATTTTCTTTTAATTGTTTTCCTGCAATAAATGTCAGCTAACGTTGAGAAAATAAGAAATCTCTTTCAAATTCTGCTTCAGCAGCACATTGGTACAAAACCTAGGTTTGTTTAGAGAAATTTTTGACACCTTAAAGATCAACAGATTTATTGAAAGTTTAGTGGGCTAAAACCTATTTGACAGATGCTCCAGTCCAGTCAACTTTTTCCAGACTTCAGAATCACAGAGTATGGGACCCACTGAACATGAAAAGAGAGGCAGGAGGTATAACAGTCTCTAAGTACCAAGGGTCACCAAACTTGGTGAACCTGTGGGCACTCTTGGAATTTTAAAAACTGAGAGTGGACACATCACAAAATGGCTGCTAGTGCTCACCATAAAACGTTAAGAGTTTGCAAGATGGAAACAGCTGTTTCTAAACAGGTGCTCCCTGAGGATACAAAGGCAATACCTCCTGGGTTCTTCTGAAGCATCTCCTCTCCAGCACGGGAGAGGAGAACCAAGACTGGTTATTTGATTTGGGAAAGAGATGATTTAGGGAAGAAGTAAATGGGCACCAGGATACCCACTGGCAGGTACTACATTGGGGACCAGTAACGGACACTATAGGTGAGGCTAGTGATCCAAGATGTGAGGTTCCACAACCCACTTGACGATCCTGACTCATAGACTGAAGATCACTAGTCTATTTCACATCTATTAAGTCTTTTGGCATCTTAAAGATTCTTTCTGTTTTGCTGCAACAGTGTAACAAAGTTATCCCTATCAGAATTCCTAAAACAACTGCTATTTCAAACAGTGATATGCTTGAGTTTTACACAAAACAGTTTGACTAATGTGGTCATTTTAGCACCAAATAATTAGCATTTCAGAACTTCTGAAGAAACGTAGGAAAGACTACTGAAGTATACTCATTCCTTCTCTTTGTACAATAGATACCTGCTGCAAGTACATCTACTGCAGAGCCCCCAAAGCATTTCCAATTCCTAAGCACCCGCTTCCTAACAGTTGCATGTATTGGCTCCCAGGAAGGAATCTGGTACACTTTATTTTTAAAAATCCACTTCGCTCTACCTGCATATAAGATATATAGCAGCCCTTTGCCCACACCAAGCTCAGGCCCTTCCCAAGGATCCCAGTACCCATTCACCTCAGTAGAGTCTTACTTCTAAATAAACATGCCTTTGATCAGGCTGCACATCGGTAAACTGAAAAAAACTAAATCCCCACTTACCATGATGTATCTACTCAACAAACTGTTCCTGTATGCCTACCTAGAAAAAAGGCAAACACAAAAGAAAATCCCTGAAAGTTAAGGACCAAATTAAAAAAAATTAAATGCATACATGGCTTGCTTTGCCTTCCCGTCTGAATAAGTGAAAGACCCATATTGATTACATTCATATTCTTCTGTTAACATCTTAATTTCTTTTTCCAAAGACTGGATTTCATCTTCATAAACCTGAAGAGTGTTGATATTCATTTTTCAGACACAAAATTCACTAAAATAAAAAGCAGGAAACAGAAATTTAGCAAGTAATATTATTTCTGTAATCTTTTATTTAAAAGTTTATGATCTCCACACTCAACTAGCAATTGATCCAGAGAGCCTATTAAAAATGAAGTGGCACCTGCAATAAACAGCGTTTTAACACGTCTTTCTTATGAATATAACAAAGAAACATATATGGCAGAAATGAATGTGGACCCCTGGAAGCAGAACATGTACCGTACATTACATTTTAAGAAGTTATAATGAAACAAGATTTTTCCCTTTCCCATGCCAATGTACACTGCAGGCTCATATATCCAAATAAATAAGACATTCTAGAAACATTCTAGATGTTAAAAGATAGTAGTAGTTTACCTTCACCAAATATAGACCATTCAGAATTTCACTGGGTCATCAGTAACTATGATTATCTGTTCATGGACATAAGAAGGGACTTGGTGGTTCAGACCAATAGTCCATCTGGTCCAGCATCCTGTTTTACACAATAGCCTTCAAATGTCCTGCAGGGCCAACAGTCAGTACATAGAAGCCAAGACCTTTTTGTGGTGTTACCTCCTAAAACCAGTATTCATTAGTTTACTGCATCTGAGAGTTCTCAGACCCAACGTATTCATATCTGATGGCTGAAATCCACAGAACTGCATAACTAATTTCTTCATTTTAAAGTCTACAATATCACATGGCAGACCACTTTCAAAAGCAGATTGCTAAGTAGCACTGGATTCTATTACGCAAAGGAAGAAAAAAAATCAAAAGTTGCACTGGATGGACTCAAACTGTAAGGAACGCTACTAAAGCAACTGTTTGGACCCTAACCACCAAACACACATGGACTGACTGACCCATGCAAGTCCCGGGTTCAATCTTTGGCATCTCCAGTTTTTTAAAAAAAGGATTAGGTGGCAAGTGATGTGGAAAACCTCTGCCTGAAATCCATTTGGCTTCACTATTCGGAATTGGGCCTACAGCAAAGTGAGGCTGCACAAGCTTGCAAGTTGCATTTTATGATCTTCATCTCATCTGCTTGACCACTAAGTTGTCCAGAAGTAGGACACCATTGGTCTTGGTACTGTTTATAACTGAAGGTGAAACTGGCATAACTGTTGTGTGCATGTTTCTCATAAACATGGCTTATTCCAGAATTATATGAGAACCATATACAACACCCTGTAAGAACAAAGCTGGTGTGTGCGACTTATAAGAATCAGTAGAAAAGGTTCAAATTGGGGTAATCAGGAGGCGATGTTTATGGGTTTTATTAATGGCCCCCTACGCTTTCCACAATTGGAGTACTGTCCTGAAATGCAGGGTAAAGAAAAACACTATTGTGCTCTTTCAAAAGAGGCAGCACATTCTGAATTAGGGAATTCCTAGGTCTGTCTCCCAAATACCTTCTCTTTGGGTATTCCATTTGGATCCATTGATATGCATATATGTAATACCAACAGCGTGTTATTTACAAGACATGCATCCCACTAGTAGAGACCCTCTTAAGTGCATCCAGTCTATATCAAGTGCACAAATACTCTGCCAAGAGAACCTGCATTAGTAATAGGCAACTAGGACCTGGAGGAGACAACCTATTACTACTGCCAATAAAGAATCTGAGCTCGAGGCCTTTGGGGTGCTTGGCAGTCATTGGGACTTGATTCTATTAGTTCCTGGCCACGAATGGTGCTGTACAGCAATGGCCCACCGGGAAACACATCTGTAAATTAAATGGCCAGTCTACCCCTGAGCCTAACCCAACATGTAGGGCTGTCATTAATATAAAGTGGAGAAAGTGTACACACCCCACTGAAGTCTTTAGAGGAAGCACAGGACAAAAGCGTGATGAACACCCGCACCCTTGAAGAAAAGTATTGCACAAAAACAGCAATCATAAATGGGGGGAATCGGATTGCTGTTTTTGTGCAACTTTTTTTTTAGAACCCGAATTTTGCTTCTGATTTGCTCTGACTATCTAGCGCTCTGAGCAACAGTAATCCGTATATGCTTAGAAGTACCCGTTCCAAAACAACAAGTTAATGTCAGGAATTCTACCCTTTTTGCGCCGAGCCACGTAACTGGAAACACGTACAGCACTAACCTGGCTTCCAGCCCACGCCGGATTCGCCTGTCTTTTTGCACCGCTCTCCTCCGTCTGTGTAGTAGAAAAGCACTAACCTGGCTTCCAGCCCACGCCAGATTCGCCTGTCTTTTGCACCGCTCTCCTCCGTCTGTGTAGTCTTCCTTTCTGAACTAACCGCCAAAACAGAGCTCACTTCAGGCGCTACCATCGGGTACAATATTGGGGGGGGGAGAAAAAAATAGAAAACCTCATCATAAAACCGTTTTTAGCTTTTATCCCCACCACCTTCGAAAGCATGACTGTTGTTATCTAATTCCCTGCCACAAGGAGAGAAAAGTCCTCCACGTCACAGTAGCCCTCCCCGCCCGTCCTTCTCTTTTCCCCTCGCTCCCTCTTCGTAATCTCCAGATAGCTCAGTCCACAAGTGTCCGTCGTATACCCGACCGGCTATGAAACAGCGACCTAAGGGAGGTACATAGAGATCGGGGGAACTGAAGCACAACCTCAACATCCGGTAAAAATTGAAAACCGTCGTTAAGTCTCTATGGGCAACTAATTTAATTCAATTTTGTATCTCAGTGTTGAAAAGTTTTTTTCCGTTAAAATGGGCAGCCAGTCCAAGTTTGGATTGGAAGTGTTAGCAAGGACTGCAGTTGTGTGGGGGCTCTCGTCCTTTTTCGCGTCGAGGGGTTGGGTAGGTTGTTATGTGATCCGGAACGATGTTTCGGGGTGTGCAGCGGAAGTGGGGGAAAGGTAAACAGAGAGCGCCTTGCGAGAGCCACGCTGGGAGCGGCAGAAAGAATTCTCGCGGGTGAAAGTTGAGAGGAGCTTGGCAGAGTGGAGCGGGGGCTGTAATAACTGTAGGTAAGACGTAAAGCAGTTTTTTTTCCCGAATTAGGTTTGTTTATCAAAGTTAAGTCTCTCTCGAATCTCGCTCTGTGCCTGAGAGAGAGTGCAAGAGACAGTGTGTCACTGTAGCCCGTTTAAACATTTATCGCTGTTGGTTTCAGCAAGGCTTACTTTCAGGCTGCAATCCAGTTCTGGTCCTGTTTACTCTGAACGAAGCCATTAAGTTTGTTCAGGCTTGCAGCCTTGGGGGGGGGGGCAATGTATTAGTGGAAATCTAAGCTTTTAAATGTAACCGTAGCTAACTTGTGTTTTACTTCCGTTCAGCAGTGTTGAGCTTGTTCGTGTCTCTTAAAAGATCAGAAACAGTCAGGATTCGAATTTCAAACCCAGAAATGCACACACAGGGTTGGTTTGAGGAAAACACAGATTCTTATAAGTTCACAAAGTGTACTAAGGTGCATTGAGAGATGTCTGTTCAGTCTGGTCTAGTTCTTAGGTGTGGGCTGTATTTTTATTTGTTCCTTTGCATGCTTAGAAGCCAGGGCATTTGAATTTTGGACATGGATCAAAACCCAGTTGTTAAGCGGCTATACGTTGGAGGACTTGACCATACAGTTTCTGAAGCTGAACTGCAGGAAAGATTTTGCAAGTTTGGAAATGTTACAGACACAGAAATTGTTACCCGGAAAGATGAAAAAGGTAACATCTTTTCATTCTTTAAAAGTAAAATTACATCTCATTTAATTTTCTATTCAAGGCATTTTTTATATGCATTTACTTGGAAGGGTGTGCCTTTATTCAAAAAAAGATGGATTGTGGAAGTAACGAGTCTCTTTTTTTGAACAGGGAAGCCTACAAAAACATTTGCATATATCAGCATCACCCTTTCAGAAAAAGAACTTAGAAAATGTAAGTATATTGGCTACCTGATTTTTGTTGGCTCTTTATATCCCCTGTGAAGTGAGCATTTGACAGATACCTGAACCAAAGCTAGTTAATTATATTAGCGGTGCAGTACAAAGTAGAGTTGCACCCATCTAAGCCAAGTGCCTTCAGTGGGTTTAGAAAGATATGGTTCTGCTGAGGACTGTAATGTGTTTAATTTATAAGGGAGAACTCCTGTTGAAGTGTAGCACTATTTTACCTTAAGTGCAACTGTATTTTGAGGGGTTGGGTAGGTTGTTACACATTTACAGGGCAGAAATGGACCCAGTGGTATTTGCAGCTGAGTTGGTGATCTGACATGATATTTTGCAGGTCGAAAGCTCAACTTCTCTGTTCATTAGACTACACTGGCTTTCACCTCCATCAACAATACTTAAACCTAACTTTATAAGTAACCAAGTTGAATGCTTTCATAGTGTGTGTGTTAACAAGACTGTTTGTTTGCTGTTTGTAGGTATATCTGTTCTAAACAAGGCAAAATGGAAAGGTGGAACACTGCAAATAGAATTGGCCAAAGAATGTTTTTTGCACAGGTAATATTGTTTTGTAAGCAGAACTTTTAATGAAAACCACTTGATGCAGCTTCAGTCTGTTTTTGAATTACACTCTTAATGCACAAGTGAAGAGTTTTAAAGATCTTCGCAAGAATAATATAATGTCTCTGTGTAAAAAAATTAAGTTTATAAAATTGTATTCTTTTAGAGCTGATTAAATAGCCTTATTAGGTACACTGTATTTAATATGGATTGTAGTGAGTCATTTGTGTGGAGGGAAGGCAGTTGAATGAATTGATTTTGGTAGATGTCTGGGGTGTCTGTAAAAAGGAGATAGCATTCATGACTCTGTAGATGTATGATAGGTATGCATGTGCTCTGACAAACTGAAGTTATGTGCTATGATGCAGATTGGCACGGGAGCGTCAAGAGGCAAGCATGACGAAAGAAAATACAAGTTGTAATGGCATGAGAAACATTCTAGAATCTATGAAGAAATCTGGAGTTGTAGATTTTCATGTAAAAGCAGTACCAGGAACAGAAATACCAGATCATAAGGTATGGTGAACTTAATGAATAGCAAGGAAGTGGATTGATCACATCAGTTTGCCCCGTAATTCTAAATTTAACAGTGCACTCCTATGCATAGTTACTCTCCAGTCTAACTCTATTCAAATGAATAGGCTTAAGCTGAAATAATTTGGCACTGAGTTTTTTACATTGTAAATTTCTAGACAAAAAAGACATCCTTAAAATGTGCCAGATAAGTCAAATACAAATTACTTAAAGTTGTTGCATTACATTTTCGCTGAAAAGAGGGGGCTGCACCAAGACAGAATAACAATGAGAAGACAGATAGTGCAAAGGAAAAAGATACGGGGCAAAGGAAATAATCTATAATGATTTATATAACCCCTACAAGTTTTGCATGCAGCTTCGTCAAGGGGAATCTAGCAAAATAATACAGATATAAAAGTTTATTTAATACATCATTTCAGAAACAATTAAAACATATTAATAAATTATATTTCATCTACACACATTGTCTGCTACATTTGATGTGACCTCCCTGTACACCAGCATTCCTCAAACAGAAGCTATAAGAACTATAGCGAAGGTATTGAATAGAAGGGACAACAACTACCCTCCCCACTTATTTCTTAATTGTTTTAACAGAAATTGTGCTGGAAAAAAATTACTTTAAGTTTAATGCTAAGTTCTCTTGGCAGATCCAAGGTATAGCTATGGGATCTCCAGTGGCCCTAGAGGTGGCAAATTTGTGTATGAGTGATTTTGAAGACAAGAACATATACTCTCCAAATGATCCTTTTCAGAGATATATTATAAAATGGTGGTGATATATTGATGACATTTTTGTGTTATGGAAGGGAACCTTGGACCAATTGCATACATTTCACAATTGTCTGGCTAATAGAAACATAAATTTAAAAATTACATGCAAGTGAAAAACAGATTTTTTTTTATCTCATAGTTTTTAGGGATAACATAATCAAATATTTACAAACTTGTATAAAAAACAACTGATAATAATTCCCCCCTCAGATATTACAGCCACTACCCACCACATGTGAGAAACAATTTACCTTTTGGTCAATTTCTTAGAATTAGGAGAATTACAAGATTATTATTAGTAGTATTTTGTTTGTGTGTGTCTGTACCTGGAAGTCATGTCGACCTCTGGTGACTGACCCCAACTGGGGGCCTGGAGGATATTCAGAGAGGTGGCTGAACAAAGACTGCCCCTGTCCTCCCAACAGGGTATTCCAAGGAAGTCTCCCATCCAAGTACTAACCACAGTTGACCCTGCTTAATTTCCGAGATTTGACAAGTTTGGGCTTGCCTGGGCACCAAATTACAAGATTTTCAAAGTGAGGTTTCAATATTACAAAAAAACCCTGGCAGACAGGATACCCACAGCAAGTTCTACAAACATCTCTTATCAAGGCCACTGCTAAAGATAGGAGTCAGCTTTTAAGAAGTCAGAAAAAGGTGACCTTGGAAGGCTTGTTTGTAGCTGAACTTGCAACTCTAGTGCAGCATTTAAAAGAGCATTTATAAGAACTGGAACTTACTGGATGATATTCCCATGTGCAGTTAAAAACCAATTGTTGCTTACAAAAAACAGCTAGCAAGAAAGATCTTGTAGTTCATAGCAACATTCATCACAAAAAAAATTAAAAATCACACAGTCTGTGTTACCAGGTTCCAGCCCTCTAATGGGGCACTTTCCCTGTGGGCATTGCTGCTTCTGTAAAAATACAAAATCTATGAAATATTTTATCAATCCTACAGACAATAAGCAATACTACCTTAAAGAATTCACATGTGGTTTATGCAATCTCTTGTGGGTGTATATAGGCAAAACTAACAGGCCTCTTAATATGAAATATTTTATCAAACCTACAGACAATAAGCAATACTGCCTTAAAGAATTCACAGCTTGCAACAGTGATCATGTGGTCTATGCAATCTCTTGTGGGTGTGGAAAATAGTATATAGGCAAAACTAACAGGCCTCTTAAATTAAGACTCTTTGAACACAAGAGTGACATATCACATAAAAAGATTGGTGCTCCTCTGGTAGAACATTTCCTAGAGCACAATCACAAACCCACAGACTTTTTGTTTTAGGTTATATTTAAATGTAACATACAGGATAATAGAATTCTGTTGAAAAAAGAGGCTGAATAGATATTGAAACTGAGAACTCTGTACCCTAAAGGGTTAAATGAAAGCATGTCCTGGCAGATGCTAATAGACAAGACATGCCCAGACAGCTCACTCTGCTAAAATGTACATACGGGAACAGAAGTTAAAAGAATCTGGAAGGTCGGTATGATCCTTAAACAACTCAAATGAAGAATTTTATAAAATTCTGTAATATGTAGTGGAAGTTAATGCTGGTAATGTAATGTGAATTGCACTGTGTACATGCGCTGTGACACATGAAACGTGTAGGGGTTATACAGTTATTAAAGATTATTTCCTTTGCACTATTTGTCTTCTCACCTTTGCATTACATTTTCAAAAATTATTTTCTTCTCTAATAGGACTGGGTTGTTGGCAAGTTTGGAAGAGTTTTGCCTGTCCTCCACATGAAAGCTCAACACACAAACAAGATATCCTTTTCTACATACTGAGTATATTATAAGTAGACATAAGTTCTACCATTAACAGGAAGCAAGCTATTCCTATGTAATTCTAACTGTTGATTATGATGTGGCACTGTCTTTGTACCATAAAGTAGATTACTCTTAATTGGGATATTTAATTCTAGATAATCAATTGAAACATGTACTCCAGGATGATGAAAAGTTTTAAGAATATGGCAGGCATTTTATCATATTCAGAAAGTTTTTTCTTATAACTCTTAACATTCTTGTAGCATACATGTATCATTTTATCTCATTCTGAACAATGGCCTCAGAGTATCAGTCAAAAATTCATGCAGTGGGAATGTGTACAGATACGGGTATTTTTTTTGAAGCATGGAGGAAGCCCCACATTTGCAGAAAAATAGACATTCAAAAAAATACATTGTAGAATTAAAACAACCTGAACTCACAGAAGCAATGTCTGCTTCTATAAGAAAACAATGCCACTGAGTTCTTTTCAAACCATGTTGTGAGATTTCCGTTGCCACTTTGGTGTTACCAGCATTGCTAAGGATTCCAAGCCTCAGTTAGTATCAGCGTGGGAAGGGAAAGACAGAATTAAAAAGGAGAAAGATAAGGTAAAGCAGCAGGTGGGAGGAGTTTAAAGAGCAAGTTTAAGAAGGGAAAAGCTGGGTGAGTGTGGGATGCAGAAGCTTTCTAGAGGAGAAGCAGAAGAAGGGAGGGAAAATTTGTAGTAGTAGGTTGGATTTGACAGTCTTGATTACTTTGAGGGGTTTGGGGAGGTTGGAACTCTAAAAGCAGACTTCAACAAGATAATAAATCACTACTAAAAATAGATTTTGCTGAACTCAATTCCTATAATAACCAACTCAAAGATCACGTAGCCATGTAAATCTGAGTCAGTTAATAGATCGGACTGCAGAGGACTTTATCCCACATGTGCTGTAGCTTTTCTTTTCAAATGTAGTGAGGCATATTCTTAAGAGGAGCTACTTTTGTTTTATTTTGTGAAGTCCAGTGGCACCTTAAAGACTAACAACATATATTCCAGTGTGATCTTTCATGAATTAGCACTCATTTCTGATACACAAAAACTGGTGCTGGAATAAATGTTGTTAGTCTTCATGGCGCCAGTGGTCTTCTGTTTTATTTTACTAAGACAGCTACCCCTCTGGAATTACTTATAAAAACGTTGCTTTATCTCTAGAATTTTGGAGCTTTAAAATTTATTTTTCCTTAATTCTGGTAAAAACATTATGAAATATGACCCTTCCAAATACTGTCACAACCTTAAAAAATTGGATTCAGACCTGAATGAAACCGTTCCAGTTTCCCAACTCACTTGGCATTTAGAAGAAGATGATAATATCATGAGCAAGAAACAGCAAGGACAATTTCCTGTTTATAAAAAGCCGCTTAAAAAGAAAATGAGAGTACAGGACTGTGGTACTTTAAGTACTACAGAACTGAAATCATGTTGCCAGTTTTCATCAAAAACAACAAATGTACACAAGACAGAACTAGTTCAAAATCGCACTCCTATTGCAAAGCAATACAAAGAACCTGTGGATCAGAAGTTTGAAACTGGATTGTGCAGGAAAAGCAGCCTATCTGAAAGCGATATTGATACTGATGACGAAATTAGAGCCATAGTAGCAAAAGAAAAAAAAGTGCAGAGAGTTAACCCTAATATTCAGCCTGAAGATGACAGTATGGAAGTTGTTGGAGAAAATTTTGAAATGAAGTATAATACTCACTGGGCTTTACAGAAAGCACATGGTATGAAGAAAGTATGCAATGGAATGCTAAGGAGCACTGAAGGCAAATCTGATTATGATTCAGCTGACACTGATGAAATTATAGCTGTGACTCAAACATCAAATCAAAGAAAGAGAGGAAAGAAAGCTCTGAATGGATCTAAGGCCACAAAAGAGAAAGATAGAAGGCTTAAGAAGGGCATTTTGTCAGTTTGTCATTTGAACGGGTCAACATCTGACAAACTGAAAGTGGAGAAAACAGCAACACTGAAAAAACCAAATTCTGAGGTTGTACCTGAACAGAGCAGAGATGCCAATAAGTGCAAATTGGAGAGCAATTATTTGTATTTTGCCACAAGCGAATCTGAAGGGGGTGAAGATTATGAAACCATGACGAAAAACTGTTACCAACTAGATCTTACATTAGAAGATTTAGAACGATTAGCAGGCGAAAATGCTGAGTCTACAGATGACGATACAAGAGGTAATCACACTGACACTGAAGCTAAAATGAATGAATTTTCAGTTAGTAATACCAAAATTATTTCAAGAGTACACACAGGTTCCTCTACTGCCAAAAAATGTGTTTGCCCAAAAGAAATTATTGCTGCTATTTTAAAAGAAGAAAGTGCTGATGAAAAAAATCCAAAGAAAGAAAACTCTCCATTGAAAGTTCAGCCTTTTAGAGGAATAGGGTCACTAAGCAAGATTGAAACCATAAAGAAGCCGAATAAGGGTGAGTTGGATGCACATAAAAGCTGTGATTCTTCTGACCTTACTTGTATGGACACTTTGAAGGGTGCATCAGATCCCCAGTTCTCGGACTCTGCAGCTAAAAAACCTAACTGTAAATTACTGTCATTAAAAAAAAGGAAATCTGACTCTCACAGAGGAAAATGCAGAGCAAAAACAGGTGAAAATTCTGACTGCAGTACACTCAACACAGAAAATAGTAAAGCTGACAACAGTAACGGGAGTGTTCTAACAGAAACAAAGGTCTCAACAAATCTGAAATCTTTTCCCAAGAGAGCACCGATAGAAATTAGTTGTGAAGGTTCAGATTTAAGTGAGAACCTGAAGAATATCCCTCCGAAAAGCAGAGAGACCCTTCTGGGTTCTGTCACATCTGCATTAGAAAAACAACAGCAGGATAATGAAAAACGGCTGGCAGCTCTGCAAAAGAAGCAAAAACTGAGAGAACAGCAGAAAAGACTTATTCAGGGAGCTCTTGCCCATCTGGTAACTCTCTTTTTTTTTTTGTGCTAGGGGGGGAAATGTTACATCACTTTGTATAAAGATTGTAGGTATGTTTGTAGTATAACACCTGAGCTTGCTCCAAAATGCCTGAATTTCAGAGGAAAATCATAATAGGAAGGCAACTAAATTTGGGATGGAGGAGTTAATGTTGGAAATGTGCCCTCGTACTGTTTCCCCAGTTTACGGTGCCCTTATCCAAGTTATAGGCAAATCTGTGTGCTCTGCTGTTGTTACACCAAATGCATCTCTAATGTTAAATTGATTTTCATAATTGATAATACACTTATCCATGTTCCCTGAGGAAATCATATCAACGAATAAACAGAAGCACATAGTGTTTGATTCGGATGGTGAAAGTGAAGGTGAAGTTCCAGTGAGCACTGAAGAAGGGCCAGGAAGAAAGCTGCTGGGGAAAGTGAGTAGACTACAACAGTTTATACACAGAAGTTGCTCAAGAATCCCATACAAATCTGTTTTATGTAACCCATTATGGAGGAGAAAACTCAGCAGTCTGCACATGTTTGTGTGGGTATAGACAGGAATACAGAGCTTTAAAGGGGGATTAGATAGATTCATGGAGGGTAGGTCTATTATTGGGTACTTGCCATAGTGACTGAGAGGAACCTCCACATTCAGAGGCAGTCGCCCTCTGAATCCCAGTGCCAGGAGGCAACATCAGGAGAAGATCTCAACCTCCATGCCCTGATGTTGGCCTGCCAGAGGAAATAGTTGGCCACTGTGTGAGACAGGATGCTGGACTAGATGGACCACTGGTCTGACTCAGCAGGGGCTTTTCTTATGTTCTTATGTGTGTTTTTGAGTTGGCTGCCAAAATAAATATAATTTTCAATGGCAGCTTTCCTAAGCAACTGTGTTTGGAAGAAAGCTATATTTGGATCCATACGTACCCCCAAATTCTTTCCTTTCTCAGAAGTTTTCTGCAAGCCTTTTCCCTGCAAAAGTTCTTCTTTTAAAGGAAAAACTTCTAAAATTCAGAACTTACTAAATAAGCAAAGGTGCATTGTGTCTTTGGGTATGAGGGCAAAAGATGTATGGAAACTTATTTTCTGGAGCATTTAGAATTAACTTGTTAAAATTGTATGTATTATTATGTCCAAGGATTTCATCACTAAAACCTCTGGAAAGCTATTTGAAAGCAGTGAGGATGAGCCAGATATAGCAGAAGAAGATGAGGACAGATTCAAAATAAAACCTCAGTTTGAGGGTAAAGCTGGTGAGAAGGTTGGTAAAACTTTATCTCTTACCATGCTCAAAGAGTGGTGAATAATGTTTTGGTGTTTAGGGCCAACATATGAATTGTGTTCACTTCATCAGTTTTTTGCCTAATTCCTGGACAGACTTTCCCAGGAATCAACATGCCTTTGACAGTAAATAACTATTGGTTCTATCCTTTGATTTTTCTCCATCTGCCTGTACATCAGTAGAACAGTACAACTTGTTTTAAAATTGATCTGGGAAAACATGGAAGGGTGTTGGCACAGCCTTTTCTGTTTCCCTTGCTACCAGTTAATCCAGCATTACTCTTCACTTTTCCTCATATAGCTTTGTTATGCCCATTCAGTTCAACCTGTATGCACATTATCCTCCAACATTTCTTCATTTATTTGCACCAGGGCCTTTAAGGCTACTGAGGAGATTTCCGTGGAGGGGAGGGGCTTACCCTGGGACAGCCCTGCACAAATTTGGTGGGAGCCATCACTGCTGCAAGCTCTTAGCCCTCACCAAGGGGGTAGGAGCTACTGCCCCCACAAATTGACAGCTCCCAATTCATAGGACCCAGCAGCCCCCACCCTACACAAGACAGGCTGTCATGAAGCAGGTAGGAACTACCATCACTATGAGTTGGTCCACCATGATGCCTATACCCTTATCATGTACAAGATGGATAGAGCAAAGTGGAAGCTGTGGTGAGCTAGCCCCTTCCATCTCATGGGTGAGGCTGGGCCGGGCCCTATTCCTCTTTCCCTCCCAGGTGGAAGGTGCTCTTTCCAGAGTCACTTTTGCCTCTTGATGTGGACATATAGTAAGTCCAAAGATCTTACATTGTGTACATGTGCTGTCACTGTTATCATATAGTAATGATCAAAGTAGAACTAATACGAGATAGAAATTACTGGAAAATGAGCACTATTTGTTGTTACAGCTCATGCAGTTACAGTCACGATTTGGCACAGATGAAAGGTTTCGTATGGATCCTCGCTTCCTTGAAAGTGACAGTGAAAGTGAACAAGAAGGTTAGATTGTGCCTTCTCTTTTATTGTGTATTTTAAAAACTTGTAAATTCGTCTCTTATGTTTCGTGTCCTTGCAACCTGGTGCTGCATTGTTAGCCACCTCAAGTCTCAGGATATAAATGTTTTAAATAAATAAGCTGTTAATTTTTTCCCCTCTTAGATGAATTAAAGAAACTGGAGATAGATGAAGAGGATGAGCTTGCCTTAGAGAAAAAGAAGAATCTTGAGATCTTGAAAAATCTTCTACATATTAATGTAGAACATCCCAAACCTAACAAGCAGGCTGCAAATGCTAAGAAATTCAAGTAAGGACTTTTCTTTAATAGACAAGTTAATATATTGACTTTTAGGAGAACAGTAACATGTGATCTACATACCTACACATAAATGTTTTAACTTTTCTAAGGCATTGAATTCAGAGGAAGCCTCTCAATTTCATAATAATGTGCCTTTTAATTGGGTCTTATTTCCTGTGGAATCATATAAAAAAATCTAAAAATATCTTGGATTAGAGTCTAGCATAGTAGAAGTGTACAATCACCATGACAAACCTTGTTAAAAGTATTTCCATAGCCCTGAAGTTAGATTTCTAGGTTACAGCTCTGAATGTTATGGGTCAATATCCAATTTATATTCTGGCTAACTAGGCTACCTAACTGTAAGTAGTTACCTGATGCTTTGTATTGGAGAAATCAAATGCAGTTGTGTAAATCAAAGTTCAGCTATCGCTCTTACCATCCTATTAGATCATGTATGTGTAGCACAGCAAGCCAAAAGAAGGGTTGCTAAGGCAACAGGTACTAGACTGCTTCCTATCCTGGCACTGTGTATAACTGAACCCTTTGCAACTTGTCTTCACCCCATCCTATTTTGCTAGATTTGAGCATTAAAATATTTATTTTGAGGCAGTGCATCTGATGAAATTTATTAACGTTTTTTTGAAAACCTGTTGATAGACACACAAAAAGTTAGATGTTAAATTGAGAGATGTTACATCTGGATACAATAAAGAATACCTATGTTTCCCTTTTTTCCCCAGGGATATTAACACCCTACGCTATGATCCTACAAGGCAGGACCATGCAGTATTTGAAAGAAAACGAGAAAATACTGAAAAAGAAAGGTAATTACTCCATTAGTAGCTTGTTGGAGTGGTTAATCTGGCTCAAAAATGATGGTCACAGTCACAGAACAGATCGCAAAAAGAAGAAACTGTGAGGTAACTGCGCTAGAAAATATTTCAATAACAATCACAAAATTTATACAAAAATGTGTACAAAAAATCATATAAATGCACAAGGCAGTTGAAAATGGTGTGACGATGGTCTCCGGAATGTTCTATCGTTCGATACTATTCTTCTTCCGAAAGTAGATGAAAGCAGTGACTCTTGGTCTGTCATTTCAACAAGTAGGTATCAAAAATTTTATTAATATTCACCGATGTCTCATAACTTAGTTGCAAGAAATTCTCTGAAAGAATGTTCCTAGGGCAAAGTGCTTGTATAATGCCATTTTCAACTGCCTTGTGCATTTATATGATTTTTTGTACACATTTTTGTATAAATTTTGTGATTGTTATTGAAATATTTTCTAGCGCAGTTACCTCACAGTTTCTTCTTTTTGCAGTCTGGAGTGGTTAATCTGCCAGTTGAACTGTTTTCCATCCCTAATATCCACTCACTTTATGCAGTGGTAGTACATGAATGGATTTAACTAGCTTGTTTAAGTAACCATGAGAAGCCCCCAAAAAAGTTTTTTTAGGAGGAATGAGATTATTGGGGGGAGGGCTCTTTCTTCATAATGAACCAGACTTCTGACTCCTTTTTAGATCTTACATTGGGTGAGGTGGAGTAAATTTAAAAAGGGAGAGGGTTGTTGCCCAGTTCTGAGTTCATCCCTTCAACAGTAACATCATTTCTTTTTGCCTTTGAGGGTTCCATCCCCTTGACCTAGCAATGCCTTCTTGGTGAACCAAAAGTGGCTGCTAGGAAATATGATGAAAAATCTGCTTTCACCATGAGAACAAGCAAAAACCCACAACACATCAGTTTCTGCTGTCATGAGCGCCTGAAAAATAGTTGTGTACGATAATATTTGTACAGGTTAACTGTGTAACATTAAGACTAAGACTCGTTTGTATTTAATTCCTGCAGTAAAGCGAAGAAGAAGAAGAAGAGGGAGGAAGCCCAGAAGCTGCCTGAGGTGTCTAAAGAAATGTTTTATGATGTTGCTGTGAACTTGAGAGAAGTACTTGAATCTACTAAATGTGATGCAAGGCCAGAAATAATACCCTGGGATAAACATGATAATGCAGAAGACACAATTGCAGCTGAGGTAGGGCCATTAAACAAAGATAGAAGTAGCAAGCAAGAAGAAACTAGTGGCTTCACGTTTTCATTTTTTGGTGCTGAAGAGGAGACATCACCTATGAAAGAAGGTACCAGAGCACATTCTAAGGCTGTTCTCAGAATTATTTTCTTATATGTAGCTTGGTCATCTGGGATCAGTTAACCAGGGGCTCACACTCTAGTGGTTTGAAAATGTTCAACAAAAACTAACTTCTTTTTTTTAAAAAAAAAACAACAACCCACCCCCACATATGATGTTACTTGTGATTTTCCTTGCTATGGCCTCAGACCAGGGTGTCTCACAAAGGCTGTGTGAATCACTCTCCCTTGTTCCTCCTTTGCCACACTGTTCTTTTTTACAGCTGCTGCTTCCCCTCTTGAGCCCCCGGTTCATCTATTCTCTTCTTCTCCCCTGTACTGGAGTCCCTTCTTCGCTATTGTCTAGTGTCTTATTCAGGTGGTTTTAATCTTCCAATGCCAGATGTCTATTTGTAAGTCTCTCAGACCCCAATCCCGTCCCCATGCCTTGTATGTTCTTTAAATGTGGTGTTACCTGCCATGCTGGTGTTGCTCCGTCCTTGGGCCTGTCTGTCTCCCAATCCTGTCTGTAGTCCCTGGCTTCTGCTGGCTTCTCCCATGAGTCTGGCCGCTCATGCCTTCACCATCTCCATGGCTCCACTGCTTTCCCTGGCCTCTTTTCCAGACCCTTCCCCACCCCAGCTTGCGCTTCCATTTCTGGGAGTCCTCCAGCCCCCGCCAATTCCCCTGCCTCCCTGCATTCCCCTCTTCCTGGCTGTCTGATTTTCCCCCAGTGACAGCGGTTCATCTCCAATTGGGCTGCTGGAGGCTTCCAGCCACTACACAGGAAATGTGGGTCCAGCTGGCCAGCCACACTACATAATGAATAAATCTTCATGGTATATACAAGGGGGGGGGGGTTGGTCAACACAATACCGTGAATTGGTTTTGGCTACAGTGCTGTGAGGCCATGCTTTTCATGCCATTATAAGGCAGGGCATGCTTTTCATGCCATTATTAGGCAGCCCTCTTCTTTCTTGCCTGCAAAGCCATAAGTGATATCATTATCGCATTTGTCATAGTGTACCAGCCTCTGGCTTCTTTGGACCACAGGTATCTTAAGGACATTGTACAAGTCAAGACCTGCAGGATAAATTAACTTACAGAACAAAGCAGTATAAACGTTTACATGACACAACATAGTAGAAAAGGAACAATATGGTTGGGAGGGTGGCTAACTCTAGAGCTATGGTGTTGGGCCTGAGGTGATTGTAATCTGTCAGTTTTACTGCAGGGAATATTTATTAGAGTTTTCAGTGACAGTCCAGGAAATGCCTTTTATTCATGGTTTACTTGTTTATCACAAGAGAAACTTTGAATTATTTTTGGTGTTCCTGAAATGTGGAATATTTTTTCCTTAGATAAGATGCTTATTTCCATGCATTTCAAAAATATTGTGCTCATTTTATGCATTATGCTCATTTTATGCATTTGCAGTTCATTTCTGGAACATCAAGAATGTAAATGGTGTTGAATTAATAAATTCTGTAAAACTAAAAAAAAACCCCAACACAGCTGTGTACCACCCTATCATAACTGATGAAATGTGAGAAGAACCCAAACTTCCTCAGTCACTCCTGGGTTGGGTATGCTCCATCCCTAGGTTGTGTAAAAGAATCTAATCCTACCTGGGAATATAACTTTGAGTTATCCCTTAACTAGCAGGAAAAAGTTTGCTACCTTTAGGCATATTTTTTAATTTATTTTTATTTTACTAGATTTTTACCCCGCCCTCCCAGCAAAGACAGCTCAGGGCAGCTTACAAACAATATAAAACAATACAATATAATAATACAATCCATTCAGACACAAATTTAAAACCATAACTATACAGCTTATTAAAGTGCTAGCATTTGATTCCTCAATGTAAAGTCAGCCTCTAAATATCTAAATATGAGATTCTCTATGAGGGAAGTGAGCAGTGACTCACGAAAGCTCATACCCTTTCACAATTTTTGTTAGTCTTTAAGGTGCTACTGGACTCTTACTCTTTTCTACTGTTTCAGCTGTTGGTTCACTACAGATAGTAGGGCCTTTTCAGAGGGCACTCTTTTCTTGTAAAATTGCCACATCTCTTCATATGTCTTCTAGATCTATTTGGATATTTCCTTCTGAGGAAGCCAAGAAAATTCTTCTGTTTTAGGCTGGCTTTTCATTTGTAGGTGGTTGAAAATCAGTATTGGGTTCAAAGGTGACTTTTCTCTAAAAGAAGAACATGTTTGGATATATACTTCTGTTTCAAATTATGGAATAAAATAAAATAGTACTGTGTCCTACTTGGAGAACTTGGTCAGAAAGAGGGTTACAAATCTAGAAGTAGATAAATGAAATGTAAGCTAACAGACATAATGTCAGGAAACTAAAGTATCTATGTTAGGAAACCAGTCTGGACTACAGCGCAACCCATTTTAGCATATAATACAGTACATGCTCAACTCATCTCAAGTGTTTATGGGAAAGGCTGTGGAACAGTGCTGGTATTGCATACAGGATATCTTGGATTCAGTATCCAGTATCTTCAGTTAAAATTTTATTTATGTATCTAACTCTGAGGCTAGACTACTGTAATGAGCTTTTGGTTGGGTTGCCCTTTTAATACAAAGAAGAGCCTTGAGTGTGGTCAACATGAAGATAGGGATCTACCACCAGGGGCATATTATACTAGTTCTGCAGTATATGCACTATCTTTTGCTTCCATTTTTAATGCAAGGATCTAATGATAATCTGCTAAGCCGTATCTAAGAGACTGCCACCCCTATTTTTTACTATGCTGTAAGACTGACTGGGAACATTGTCTTAAGTATACCATCAGTGCACCAAAACATGCCACAGGTGTTCACAGAAAGACATTTTCTTCACATGGCTGCTTAAATCCCAACCCTGTGCCTATTTCAGGACATGTAAGACCTGAAAGTTCTATTTAAACCTGTTTTAGCAGTTACGATAGAAATTATTGGTGTGATTATTAGAGGATAGTCTCTGGTTGTCTGGAGTCCCATATGCATATTAGAATCCACGTGCAGTTAGCATTATGACCAGCATGCAAGGAAAGATTAATTTGCTAGTGCTATTATGCTGTTTGACAACAAATTTCTGTGGGCTTCTTTTTTTCTATATGAACTTCTTATACAGAAAGGAAGGGATAAATCACTAATTCTAGTATTTTGTTATGTTTTGCAGAACCCTATCTAATTGAGGCAATAAAACCTTCAAAGGTTGCTTGGCAAGAAGATCCACGTTTCCAGGATAGTAGTTCAGAAGACGATGATGAACAAGAAGTGGATGAAAAAGAATATGTTAAAGAAATGTAAATGGCATTTAAATATTAGAATTCATAGAATGGGAGTGAAAAAGGGAGGGAGTGGGAAGGACACTGGTTTGTTATCTACACATTTCTGTAATGGTTGTTGGTGAGGATACATTTGACCTTTAGACTTAAAATTCAAGTAACACAGTAATCTATCAGCTTTACTGATTGAGAATTTTTAGGTTTGTTCCTCAAATGTTGAAAAACCAATATTGCTTTCTTCTCAGGCAAAAAAGGTTTTGTTTTGTCTTTTAGGTCTCCAGCTGCACCACAGTCAAACGTTAGATTTTTCTTCTTCTCCCAAGAAGATGATAGATTAAAAGGTACCAATAAAAGCCAGCAAAAACTACTAAATGGCAGAGCTCATCAATAGCATATATATGTTTGTTTAACAGATTTGTTCCTTGGTTCTCAAGAGTCCAAGTCCAAGAAATCAGAGAAGACCAGACATTGAAATGACAAAAAGGCAGTCGAAATGCAAACACATTTTCTGTGGCTCATGATGCTTATTTTATTTATTTATTTTTAGATTTATATCCCGCCCTCCCAGCGGCTCAGGGCGGCTAACATACGGCAAAGCCGGGTTGAATAGGTAAAATACAGTAAAAAAACAAAACGAATAAACTTAATCTGGCAGTTCAGTTGATTCAAATGCTCCAGCTGCTTTCCTTCAGAAGCAGAGCCTTTTCAGTATTTGCTGCTTCATTTTGTGGAAAATGCTCTGAGGGAGGGGGGAACTCAACTGGTTTCTTCAGTTGCTTTATTCAGGTGATAGGTACAGTGTGAAGACTTTTTATTCTGCCATTCCTTTGATGCAAGTTTGAACTGATAAGGAATTATATTCTATTTTGCATATTGTTGTGGTTGTTAAATGTGGCTTGGATTCTAAGTTAAGCAAGCACAGTGGTGCTTATGGAAAGAAGAATGGTGAGTAGTAGTGGAAGAAAGTGAAAAGGGATGACTCCAGTGCTGAAGAGTTGAGCATAGAACATAAAACGAATCATGCCGGATCAAACCAGTGGTCCATTCTAGTCCAGTATCTTGTTGAATGTGGTGGCCAACCAGATGTACTTGGAATGCCTGCAAGCAGAGCTTGGAGGTCAAAGCCTTCCCCCTGTTGCCCCCCAACATGGTATTCAGAGGTCATTGTCACTGAACATGGATGCTTCATTTAGTCACCACAGTTCATGGCCACTGATGGGGTAATCTTCCAGAAATTAGCTTAATCCCAGTTTAAAGCTAGCTAAACTAGTGACTATCTACATCCTGTGACTACAAATCCAAGGTTAATAAATCCTTAAGAAGTACTTCCTATTGTCTCCTGAATTTCTGCCCATCAGCTTCATTAGAAGTTCTAGTAGTTGTGTGGACAGTGTAAAGGTTCTTTTATCCAACCCATGCATACCAGAAGCCTCTATCATATACCCCCTTAGTCATTGTTCCACTAAACTAAAAAGCCCCATGTTTCTTAGGTCTGCCTTGTAGGAAAGCTGTTCCATCCCCTTCATTTTCATTGTCCTTTTCTAGAGCTACTACATCCAATAGACATTACAATCGTAGCTGGGTTTTCCCCCCTCATCTCTTTCATTATAATCCTTAGTTTAATATTTGCCTTTTTCACCACTTATGTGCACTGAATTTTCATTGAGGTACCCACCCCTCATTATTCCTAAATCAGTCATTACCAGTTCAGATGCACCAACATATATTTAAAGCTAGACTGGTTAGACCCATTGTGCATCATTTTATGCTTATCTTCAGCCTCATCTGCTATTTTGACACCCACTCACACAGAAATTAGCACAACAAACACTTCATCAAGAGCGACTGATGGTTTCTGTGCCTTACCATAGTAACTTGCTTGTTCATACTTAGAGAAACAACAAGATTAAAATAAGAAAAGCTTAAACTTTTTTGCTCTCCCGTCCAGAGGGTCCAAAACTTTTCTGCCGATCGTCCAAACTTATTGAAGACAGAGATGATTGGGAAAGCAGGCGTCAGATGTTACTTGAGGTATGTGCGATTGACAAAATAAGTTGGTCTGTCCCAAAGTGTTTATCTGTGAAACAGGCTGTTGTTACAATTGACACCCCCTACCCTTTTAAAACAGCATACAAATCTTGGCAGCTGTACACGTCATGTTAATAGCATAAAAGTAAAATAGGCAATTTCACTCTGCCCCTTTGAGTCTGTTGTCCGTGTATATAATATACTTGTTTTCTTAAAATGTATATTCTGCCTTTCTTTTAGAAAAATCAAAGTGCCTTGCATTTTGCATACATTATAAAACTATTCTGTCAAATCATTAATTAGGATAGAATGAGACACAATGTGAGGTGAAGATGTGTAAGGAAGAAAGCCTCAGACAACTAAACCATTTCATCAGAACCATTTTTT